ATTTACTCTATGCAAAAAGAAACAGTCTAGCATTTTTAAAAGGTACACACACATCGAATCGCTCAACTTTTATTATTATTATTATTATTATTTGTACTTTTTGCAGAAATTTTCTCAAAAATTTGCGTTTTCCCGTTATTAAACTACATTAAACAACCGCAAAAAATTTTCCTTTTCCTAATCAAAGTAAACAATATTAATAATAATAATAATAATAATAATAATAATAATAATAATAATAATAATAAAATTAAAAAAAATTTCGACAAAGGTAAATTTAATTCGATTTAGGTGTCACAATTTGTATCTCAATTCTAAATATATGTGGGACAAAAGGACAAGGTTTGTTTGTTGTATGTTTTCATACAAACATACAACAAAATTGATTGCTTTCGATTATTTCGAACAAACTGATTTCGATTAAAGTTATTTAAAAAAAAAAAAAAAAAAAAAAATTATTCAAAATAATATTATCACGTGGATCCCCCCCCCCCTTTGCCAGGAGAAAAGTGCAATTCATCCAATTTTCCTTAGCAAAATAAAAAAAAAAGAAAAACCTTCGTTCAATCAACGACAACCTTAAATTTTTTAAATATTTTTTTTTTTTTTTTTTTGATTTTGGAACGAATGGCAAAGTACATGGCACAAACGTCCGTGACGACGAATAAAAAAAAAAAAAAAAAAAAAAAATTATATCAAACGAAAGTTTAAAGTACAATTATCGAAGTATTGAAAAAAAAAAAAAAAAAAAAAATTTACACAGACACGTTAGGAATTTTTCGATAGCGTTGTTTCGAATGGTTTCCATTATTAAAAATAAATTTAGAAAATTTGTCATACATCAAAACTAAATCAATCAACTTTATATATATATAGTTAATAATAAAAATAATAATAATAATAAGAGATAAATTGCAATATGTGGCGGCCATTTTGTACACACACGTACATAATAATAATAATAATAATAATATGCGAAAATTTGACAATTTCTACGTCTTTCACCTATTAAGAATAATGCGTTTATGAGTAAATGTTTGAAAAAAAAAAAAAAACAGGTACATAAACAGGTATTCGACACACGATAGACACAATTTTTTTTTTTTTTTTTGATTTTTCGTACTTTTTATTTACTACAAAATTGATGATTAAAAAAGTTGATCAATCAAAAAAATTTTTTTTTTGTTTTTTTTTTTTTCGTTTTATAACGGTTTTTTTAAACAAGCTCTTCCCCCCACTCCCACCCCCTTTATTTCATAGAAACAAGTTAGGTACACACACACACACACACGTCCTTAAGCAATCAACCTATAAGAATTCATTAATTTATTTAAAAAAAAAAAAAAAAAAAATTGCATGGAGATAAATATTGAAACAATTTGAATTATTATTATTATTATTATTATTATTCACGTCTTTCTCCCCCCCCCCCCGACGATTAAATTCTAAATTAAATAAATAAATAAATAAATAAATAAATAAAAACGAGGGCCATTTTTTTTAGGGTAAAAGAAAATTTTTAAAAAAAAAAAAAAAAAAAAAAAAAACCTTAAAAAAATAAATACTTCAATAATAATCAGTGGTTGAAAAAAAAAAAAAAAAAAAAAAAAAATTAGATAGATGATAAGAAATTAAAGGGTAAAGTTTTACGTCCAAATTAATTTTTCATATTATAAAAAAAAAAAAAATAATAATAATAATAATAAGGAAAAGGAAAAAAAAAAAAAACATTGACAAAATAAAAAAATTTGAATGTCATAATTTGAAAACAGAATTTTTTAAAAAATAAATTTACGCAACCTGACATTTAAAAAAAAAAAAAAAATTCGAATTTGTTATCAATCGAATAAATTATTAAATCACTCACTGCCATGATTAAATGAATAAAAAAAAAAAAAGAAAATTCAAACACATTCGAAAAATATATAAAAATAAAGTCTATAGTTCAAAGGCAGGTCAGAACCCCTAACAACGTTTAATAGGTCTCTCTCCATGTGATAAATAAAAGAACTTTGAAACTACTTTTGAAACTTTTTAAATAAAATGTTGCTCAACCGATCGATCGATCAATCGATCGATCGATCCATCGATCAATCGATCAATCAATCGAGAAAAGCACGGTAAGCAGCAAATAAATAAATCATCATCTCTCGCTCAATTGCACGGTAATTTTTAACACAATAATAATAATAATAAGCCCAATAAACCTTAATAAAATTTTATGTATGAATTCGCACGTTAAAAAACATTGAATTACCATCATTTATATACCCTCGACGAACACGCACACACACACAAATAATAATAATAATAATATTAAATATTATTAATAATAATAATAAATCATCGAATGTTTTGTTTTACACACGTGTAATACCATTCTCTTTTCACGTGTGAACTCGATAGTGTACCCCAAAAACGGTTTTTTTTAAAAAATATTTTCGCGATACTAACACAAGTTCATTTAAATGTAAAGTAAATTTTAATAAGTTTAATTTAGTTTAGTTTAGTTTTTTTTTTTTTTTTTTGCATTTTAAACTACGTAATAAAATCATTGTATGCAAGAACTTGACCTCAAAAAAAAATTTTTTTTCCTTTTTTTTTTTACACTTGTGTGTTTTTCAACGTGTAAGCATAATTAAGGTTCGATTTTTATGTACATATGTACATCCCTGATAAATATCACGTTTCAAAATGCAAAAAATAAAAATTCAAAATGGAGAAAAAAAAGAAAAAAAAAAAAAAATTACTAACCTACTCAACTCGCGCAGCGATGTGACGACCGTTATATATACACAGATGAAAACGGTTTGGTCTTGTGTTCAACAAGTTATTAACTGATTCAACAATCAGATGATGATGATGATGATGATTATGGCGTCAAGGTATAATATATATTTGCAAAATAAAATTTTCCTCAATCACACGCTTTCCTTCCTTGTCTACGAACGCTTTTCACGAACGCTTCAACTACTAAAACTTTGTTATATTTTAATTTTACTCTGCAAAAAAAAAAAAAAAAAAAATTTTTTAAATTAAACATTTTTCATTTTATATTTCTTCCATTTTTCTTTTTCTTTTTCTTTTTTTTTTTTTTTTTGCGGGGGGGGGGGCAGGTCTAAAATGTTTAAATCTTATAAACTGTGACATTTGTTTTGTTTATTTGCAATAAAATTATTTGAAATTTCCAAAATTAAAAAAAAAAAAAAACAAAACAAAAAATTATTCGAATCTACAAATAAAATACCTTTTTTCAATTTAAGGGAAATTTCAAATTCGAAAGTGATCATTTCGAATAATAATCAATCAATTGATTTGATTTTACAAAATAAGTTACTCATTGTTAAACATATAATTTTATAATATTTTGAAAATAATTTAATAATATTGATTCTTCATGGTGAGATCCAATCATTCAACTCATTCGTTTAAATTTATCAAATTTATCAATAAACTTTCAAAAAATTATATATCGAGTATTTATCAAACGAATTAACTTAATTCAAAAAAATTTTAAATTGAAGTGAAAAAAAAAAAAAAGAAAAGAAATTTTTTTTGTACAGGTGCAATTGAAAATAATGCAATTAATAAATTTAAACATGTGCAAAATGTCGAGAAAAAAAAAAAATTCAATATGCAATATTATTAATATTTCATTTCGTTAATAATTATTGTTAAAAGTTTTTTTTCGAATCTACAAAAAAATATCACAAATGCATCTTGAAATTATTTTGCAAAAAAAAAAAGTTAATTAATAAATAAATAAATAAACATCACATTAAATATAATAATAATAATAATAATAATAATGAATAAAAAAAAAAAATAAACTTAAAACTTTCGGTACAATGTTAGTAGTGTGCGATGATGAACAACAACAACGAGTTAAACTTATAATTTTTCATTGTGATTATTTAATTTATCATAAAATGCAACAATATACCTGATCTTGACCTTTTGATCCCATGAGCAGTTTGTGTTGTTTGAATGGTCAAAGTTTCAAATTTTTTTTTACACTTCACTTTGTTAATAACATTTCATGTCGATTTTAATTAAACATTATTTCCCATAATAATTTTCGTTTTTTTTTTTTTTTTTTTCAAATAATTTATTTACTTTTATAAAATTTTAATAATTATTAAAAGTTTATTGCATATTGAAAATTTAGTAAAATTTTAAATGAAAAATAAATTATTTAAATAATTTGTGTGAATTGAAAAAAAAAAAAGTCAATTTTTTCATGCAAGGTTTAATAATTTTCAAGTAAATTATTTATCGATATTATAAAAATATGTTAATATAACTATTATAGTATGATTACAATGTATGCACATGTTTAATTTAATTTATTTAAACTAAAATCAAATTTAAAGGAAATCATTTTTTTTTTTTTTTTTTTAAATTTTAAAAATGTCGAAGCAAAATTTCAATTTTTTTGTCATTTTCATTCCCCTCAAAAAATTATTTCTGTAAATTTTGCAGAACCTTAAAAATTCCCCATCGAAAATAAATTAAATAAAGATAACAGCATATGTTTAAATAATATAAATCACGATTTATCATTGATAAAAAAAAAAAAGTTGTTGTTGTTGTAAATAATTTTGCCAAAAATTTTGAAATCACACAATATTAAAAATATTAAAATAAAATATATAAACCAAACTATGAAAATACGAACCTAGTTTAAAATTAACTTTGAGAAAAAAAAAAAAAGTGTACTTTTGGACAGGTGTACTACATCGTCATGATAATTATTTATTTAATAATCAAAATACTTATATAAAGTGTTATTATTAGCAAAATCTGAGAATATGCAACAAAAAATATTCAGGTCAACAAAGTAGTTCTTCTGTGTTGTTTAAGTAAACAATAATAATAAAACATGAAGAAAATTATTCAAAATATCATATATATATATGAGTTAAGCAAAAAGTTTTAAATAATTAACAAATTGCAAATAAACAAATAATGATTGTATGGTAAACTTACTAATTTAAATGTTCTGCGGAAAGTATAGAAAATAAATTAAATCATACAGTGATTAACAACAAATAAATACTTTTTTGAAACAAAAAAAAAAAAAAAAAAAAACACATTGCATACCCAGCATCCATTACTTAAAACGATATTCGTTTATTTTCAGATAGGTAAAAATTGTCCAATGACAAGCCTTGAAAGTGGTGTGATTCGTGACGTCATTAAAACTCCTGGCGATCAATGCATACGACAACGTCATCTGGAGGTGTTTACTTGAACCAATAAATGATTCAATCATTACGCCTAAAAGAAACCGTTAAAAAAAAGAACATTTTCAAATTTTCAAAATTCATTTAACACCATAAATTATTTTCAAGTTTTATTATAAAATTTTCGAACAATTTTAAAGAAATTATTATTGCATTATACTGTAATTATTATTTCTTAAAATTTCATAGATTTGAAAAAAATGGAGTTTTGTGAGAGTACTATTCAATTTAAAAAGAACATTCAGCTTATTTTTTCTTTATCAAAAACATTTATTTTCAAACCGAAAAAACAATTTTACGGCTGTACTTTTTCATAATCTTAAATATAAAATACATTTTTAAAAAATTTTTTGATTAAAAGAAAGAATTTCAATTAAATATCTGGGGGTGTAGTCAAGCAATTATATCAAGCAAAAAAAAGTTTGATTCTTTTCAATATAAATATTTAATTATCTTAAAAACTTTTTTTTTTTTTTAAATAAATAATATCAAATCGTACATCAAAATACCCTACAATGATCATAAGCTTTTTGATCAGATTCAGGTACGGTTAAAAAAGCAAATCCTTGTAATACGTTATTAACCACAGCTCTTGCTAAATAACTCGTAGTAACAGAATATGGAGCATCGAAAAATTTTTCAATACCGAGCGTAGAATGATTGTCCTAAAATAAAAATACAATTTTGTAAATTTTACGTATAAAAAAAATAATAACATACTACCATAAATTTCAATTACCTTATTAAACATATGAAATGCTTCGGAAACCAAATGATCCAAATTTAATTGAGTTTGAAAAACCAATTCGGGGTTACGAGATAATATTGTTGATAAAATGGTCAAAAGCTAAAATGAATTTTTATAAAAATTAATTAATTTAATTAATTCATGGAGTAACTGGAAAGAAAGAGTGAGAGAAAGAGAGAGAGAGAGAGAAAACCAAGTACTCCTTTGATAATTTAATAATTTTTAAGTTGGCAACACTGTTTAATTTAAACGTCTAAACAAATATTATTTTAATATCAAGTTCAACTTAGCATTTAATTAATTTATTTAGTAAATTTAATTATATGTGACAAATAGTTTTTAATTTAAAAAAAAAAAAACTCGGCTTTTATTTTTTAAAATGCTTAATTTCTAAATTTTTTTGTTTGATGTTTAAAAAAAAAACCCGGATTGAAATATATATATATGTTTAAACACAGTACGACGTTAGCATTTAAAAATGCCACCCAAAAAAAAAATTCAAAAAAACCGTTTGAGACAAACAAAAAAGGAAACGATAAAATCAAATACGAGTATTAAAAATTTAATACCTGATAATTCGAATGAAGATAAAATGAATTTAAATGGCGAAGAAAAAGAAATAACTGAAAAAAAACTTGTTGTTGATTTGAAACACAAAACTTACAAAGACTACAATAGTGACGATTCACACGCTGTGTAAGTAAAATAAAACAAATTTTTTTTTTTTTTTTTTGTTCCAATCATTAAATTGTACTCTTAACGACTTTTCATTGTACGATTTAAAAAAATTTTTAGGGAAGATGATGAGAAAAAACATAAATTGAAATTTTGGGAGAATAAATTAAAGGCGCTGGAAGAAAATCATGTTTCTAAAAAAAAAAAAAATGGATTGTATGAATTCAGTGCAAGCGATGATTCATTTTCACCTGAAAAAGGTATTAAAATTTATTTTCTTTACAATAAAATTCTAACCTCATTCACTCGGAATAATTTCAACCCCCTATAATTTCCCTTTTTTCAGAGAAGAAGAAATCGAAACGAAAAGTACAAAAGAAAAGAAGAAAAATTCAAGATAATGTTTTGAAGGAAAATAATGAAAATGTAAAACCGGTTTCGCGAGTCAAACACAATAATATGCTACACAGAATATGCTTGCAAAAAGCTTGTTTGAAAAATAAAGAAATTGTCCGACAAAATAATGGCGATGTTTGTTTAACACCGAAAAAATTGATTTCGAACATGATAACAAGCACTCCAAATTCGAATAAAACAAATAGATTAGACACATCAAATTTTCTATTATTGTCACCGATAGTAAATAAAAAAGAGGTGAATGAAAACATGTCGTCTGCTTCTGAGAAAAATATTTCAAAAAGTGATGTCAATGTTAAAGTATTGAGAAATAGAAAAATTTTACTCAAAAATTAATAAATATCGATCTGTCTTATTCGACCTTTTAGAATGTACTTGACGACTACTGTGTGTTAACCTCATTTGTATATAAATAATTTAATTACTGAATATAAAATAATTTTTTTGCAATTCAATTAGAATTTCCAGTGGGTAACATTCATAATTATTTTTTAAAAAAAGAAAAAAAAAAATTTGTTTTTACCTTACCTCTACAATGATTTGCCTGTATTCTGGTTGACTTATATGATTTATAGTTTCTTCGATCAGGAGAGCAAAGCTCAATTCAGATCTACCCAAATTTGATAAAATTGGTTGTTGCGAAAATAATTTTCCTCCAGCACAAAAACCGCATGGAGTCCTACTCAGGACATCCCAAACTTGAGAATAAAATTTTGAAGGTACTCGATACAAGCAACCTTCCAATTGTCTTCTTTCCAAAGGACTCAACCTGAAAAATAATAATATTTTTAAAATTGTAAATCTAAAAGGGGGGTGAAATTGTTACCCTAAGATATTAAAAAAATAACTTACGTGTTTTCAGATGCCCATTTTTTCAAAGATAAAATTTTATAAATGAGTTGACGTAATTCGTAGGGACTCCTACATTCTAAAGGTCTGGAATCGACTTCTTTTTTTCTTAAATATAATTTAATCGCTTCCAACATCCAACTGTAATAATAATAATAATAATTATATATGCATAATTGAAATTTACAATTAAATTTTAAACGTCACGTGTAAACTTACCCGATTCTAATTTTAAGAATTCCTTTAAAAACTTGTGGTTCTGTCCCGATTAGTCGCCCACAGTATAGGACAGCTTCTTGTTGAAGCACTGCTTGTATTATGTCGTAAGGTTGTACACGGTTATACATAACCGAATGAATTTCGGCAGGAATCATTGGTTTGTCAATAACGATTTCTTCCCGTCCGATCACTCCCACCGTCAACTAAATTAAAAATTATTTTTTAAATAAAGTTATAAAAAATAATTATTAACAAGTATTATAATGCTTGATACTACCTGTTTTCCGTTAACCAAAACGGTTGTTATAAAAGGACTGATGCTATCCACAGTATGCTTTAATAACGAACTGCAAAACCGTACGACATCCCAACAATGGCGATTACCCGCCAAATAATAAAGATTTTTAAGATGATCTTTTATTTTAACATCATTAATTACATAGTCTTCTCCTTTTTTTTTAAGTAAAACATCGAGGAGTTGACAACGAAGTTTTAAATCGGAAGTATTCCGAAATTGTTCAATTATTTCATCTAATTGTGGATTGTCGACTTTTAGTTGCTGTAATAAAAAATTTATAAATACTTTCTAGATTTCAGATTCGTGTATATTTATTTTAACTGAAATTTACTAACCGTTAATACGATATTCGAATCCGAATAAGTCGCCATCTTGGGAACGTCCGTTAGACTTTGATAACCAATGTAATCATGTTCTAATTCTTTAAAAAAAGTAACGTTCATTTCGGATGATATATAATCGTTCATGAAATCCAAATGTTCAATGCACGAGGAAGAAATTAAATTTTGCAAACGACCTGAAAAAAAAAAAATACATGAGTGAAATAATTTATTTTTATTGATAGGATCGAGTGCAGGCATCAAAGATTTAAATTTTACTTAAAAATTAAACAAATACCGATACGAATTTTGGTTCCTTCACAATAACCCCGTTTAAGCATGGCCATGAGGTCTAACATTTTTTTAAAATGAGGATCTCGCATGTGTTCTTCTCTAATTAATAAACAAACGGTGGGTCTACCCGATAACCGCCAATTATTGGCAACAAATTGAAGTTCGGTTTTAATATCGTCTATCAATAAAGCCATGTCTCTGTACAAATAAAATTCCGACACTTCGAAAACCAGCGGATAGCATAAAACGGTTATTCCACAAATTCTATAAACCTGAAATGATTATATGCTATTAAATTAACTCCTAAATTACAGATTTTATCAAGAAAAATGATATGAGTAATACTTTGCTAGTTCCCAATGCTCCTATAGGTCTACCCGGCCTCCCTTTTAAATTCAATTTTGAATTTACTCCCAAATTTTCATAGATTTTCACCAACTGAGAAGAAGACCAAATTTGAACGGGTTCTACTTGGTGAGGAGTTTGAGTTTGAATTCCATAAGTAGCCATCATAGCTTGAAGTCTCATTGACTCGGCTATTAGGATAATTTGGACTACAAGATCTGTTGCTGTTCCCTAAAAGAGAAAAAGGGAAGGATTGCGGCTGCACAATGAATAAGTTTTCTATTTGGGTTAACATTGGTTGACATACTTGAAAAACAGAATATCTTCCACCTTTACGGGGTCTACTGTGCGAAGGTTGATGCCGCCGAATAGGGTCCAGTTCATTAACGTGAAGCAAGCCATCGATTAATAATTGAGATATAAGATACATAGCTTGCGCCCATAAAAACAAACCTCCAATTGAACTCCCTATAAAACTAGCATGTTTACTAGTCGTACCTGGTTGCGACCTCTCACTTTCAATATCGCTGTGCTTTACATAATAGTACATTGGAATAATAGGATCTGAAATAATTTTATAAGTTTTAACAAGCCTAAGGTAAATTTTTTATAGCACAATGAAAAATTATAAATTTTACCTCCATGGCTATCAGTTTGAATTCGTAATTTAAGAAGTTGTCGATACTCCTCAACTTGATCTGGTAAATTTTTAAAAATACCATCAATTATCATAAAGATAAAAAATATTGGCCATTCATTTTCAATATTTTCAAATTCTTTGGTTTCTCCTTCCAGATAAAACTGCCTAAAAAGCAAAAAGATTTTGAGCTTACACCTCACAAGAGCAATTGATAAATTAAATATTAAAAAAAAAGTTAAAAAACCTTTGTAAATTTTCAATTTCTGTTTTATAACCGTCACGTAAGAATCGTTTAAAACCGTATTTTCCCTTCAATTTAGAAATGACATTTTTCATCGTTTCAGATACTAGATTCTGTTGGTGAGTAGCAAAAGCTGGATAAGAAATTGTACTTAGTAATGCAGCATCAACTTCCTAAATAAAAGAAAGCAAAAAATTATTCTAACTTAAATACACAATATTAAAGAAATTAAATAAGTAAAATATTTTAATAAAGAAGTTAACTAATATTAAACAGCTTACTATTATTAATTAATGAGGAGGATTTAGGTAAGAAACTCAAACATTTTTGCACTCAGATCTTACTTTAGAACTAGATTCTCTTGGCAACATTGTGTAAAATATACTACGATTTCTATTATGAGCATCAATATCGACATAAATTACAGACCATGAAGCACCTTGTTCACCGAATAAGTTACATCCGTTTATAGCTTCTAAGGCACTTTTAGCAACACCAATGGAACTGAAAATCAAACATATTTCCATACAGCATCAATTAAAGACACTATCAGTACATTTTTAATCGATTATGTTTTACCTTGCATGGATTTCTGGGGTACCATTGTTATATTTAGTTCCTCTTTCCCATATTCCAAAATCTGGAGTTCTGTAAGCTCTTTCAACATAATAAACTAAGTTTTGAATGAAAGCGACTTCATCTTGAGTGTAAATAATTTGTAATCCAGATGATATCATTTGTACGAGATAAAGCAAAAACAATGAAACAACATTTATCTAAAACATAAGAATGGGAAATAATGTTTTTACAAATACTTATTTATATTGTCAAGATGAATTACACACTTGTAAATTTGGATATGTTTCAGAACATATTTCATCTCCTGTGACTAAATGAAACTTGCTGTGCAAAGAATGAGCATTACATTGTTTCTTTTTAAACAATTCAATTTTATGTGCCTGTTTTATCCAACATTGAAGTATTCCTCTCATACATTTGACAGCTGATTGACCGAGTTCATATGATTTTCCTTGATCATCATCGATTCTTCTAAGAATATAAAAAATTACAATTAATTAATAAATTAATAAACTTTTGATTAAGTGAAAAAATAATACTGATATTTAAAAACCTGTAAGCCTGATATAAACTCCAAATGGCTGCAGCACAATATATACTGTCTTTAATACTTCCTTCTTTGACATCGTGAGAAACAGGAGGAAAAAGACCAGTTGTTGCACTTTGAAATTGAAGTAATTGCCTTTTTACTATTAAATAATAAATTATTTTAGTATTGAAAAAGTTTATAATTAAAATTTTTTAACTTACCAATTCCGTAATAAATATCCAATTGTCGGACGGTATCAATATAACTTGAAACTTCTATCTGTCTAGACATATTTAAAAATTATTAAATTTTTTTAATGGTATTCAATTAAAAATTTAACGAAAAAAAATTTTTCATGATGATAATAATATAAAGACGAAATTAAAATTTTTATTAGATAAATTTAATAATGATACAAAAATTACTGCGGCTAAAACGAAATTAAATTTTTATTGCTGAGAGATTAGGATGTAATTTTTCAAACTCTATTTTCGTCTCGTTCAAGGTCATTTTTTGACCAACTAAAATTTTTAAATCAGTTTGAATTTTTAACGAACTTTTTGCGATTATCAATATGAATTCTCCCTTAAGGATAAAAGAAATTTAAAAAAAACTAAAAATACCTTTTGATAACATGTCATTTAATTTATTTCGGTAAGTTTTTTTTTTTTTTTTAAGAGAAATGACATTTTTTCATTTTTAAATAATATTTTAAAAATAATTTGATGGAAAAAAAAAAGAATAGCCAGAGAAGAATACGGTTATAATTTTAAAAAAAAATTCAAAAAATATTATTAATCATGTATTTATAACAAAATACATTGAATTTATTAATTGAAAATTTTTTTTTTTTTAATGTAAAAAAATAATTGATTAACAACAATTTCGTAAATATACCGGTTTTTAACTAACTTATTATTATTATTATTACTGTTTTAAAAAGATTCAACATTAAAAAGTAATTTTTTTTTTTTTAAATTTTATTTTAATATATAATTTATTTTTTATTCAATCAACGAAAAAAAAAAAAAAATAATAATAATAATAAAAATAATAAAATAAATGATTAAAAATGACCGGAAAGTCTCTCTATGACTGCAATATCTTCTATTATGTCATCCATTTTGCTACCCATTTTTTTGGCGACATCTTGTTTTTCCATAACCGTTAAAGATAAATACATCCATATTAATTCTCCGTCTACTATTCGTTTGCACGGATTACCTAATAATTTCCTTCCACTTTTATATATCCTGGAAATTTATCATTTCGCAAATATTAATTAATATTTTATTCCCATTTTAAATTTGCACTTGGCATCGAACGTTACCTAAACGCTTTGGGATTCAATCCGGCTAAATGTGGGATGTGGTAAACTAAAATATTTTGGAGCATTTGTAGTCTCCTGTATGTTTTTTCGGGAATCGGTAATAGATAACCAAGAGCTCCATCGAGAGTAGCTACATTTTAATAAAATTTTAAACAAACAAACATTGTATAATTAATAAAAAAAAAAAAAAGTTTCAAAAATGGAGCGAAATGTAAACTTTTTTCACCCTCACCAAACATGGATATATGTCTTTTTTCCGCACCGATGGGAAAATCGTAGTTTTCCGCTTGATCCCCCAATCTGCACCGTATTCTAAACCAAGAATTGATGTGTTGTCCGAGATGAAAATCCGCCTTCCTTAATAGCTTCTGACCTCCCACGCTGTCTCTATCTTCGGGTTTATACATGTACATGATAATATTCATTTCTACATCCGATATTAAAAATCCCATTTGCGTATTGTCCAAAAGGAGTTCGATGGCGTAAACTTCGCAAGGCCTAAAATCCTACGCACACACGCACACACACGGAAACATTATGGAGGATCGATTACCGACGTGGGTTCTTTCAAAATCAAAATTTTAAAATATTTACCCGGCTTACGAGAGAAAGCGTTCTGTATTCTTCTTGAAAACGCAATAAACTTATAGATTTATAAACGTCGGCTACTAATATTAACGATTTAACGCTTATCATTTGATGAATGTATATTTGAGTGTCTATAAAAGCAATTCCTACCAGGTCGTTGTCTTTTAATTGCCATATATAAATCTAAAACATTTTTATTTATTCGTTAAACACTTTGTTAAAGAGTAAAATGCTGAAAATAAGATTATAAATGCATAAAAATTTACTTTTTGACCCATTGCGGTGACTAAAAATCCTAAAACGTGACACAAAGCCGTCACCGGTCCTTTTTGCTCTTTCGCATAAACAGTTTTAAAACGATTTTTGGTTAGCGGTTGACCGGGTTCGGGTACAACTTCAATTATATCGTAAATCAATATCTGCAATTATTAAATTAAACGAATAGAATGGAAACAAAAAAAAAAAAAATTCACTCGTCAATTTAAATTTACCCTTCCTTTACTGGTTATGTCTTCGCTATAATTATAATTCGTACCCACGGCGACATAACCTTTTAATCCGCTCCTCGTTCCTTCGTAACTAAGATTGACCGTTTTGACGCAAGTCACGTGCTCCCATTCATCTAATTCCATTTTTGTATTAGGAATAACCTTGCAGTTTACAAAAACGAAAAATTAGGATAAATTTTCAATAAAAAAAAAAAAAAGAATGAATTTAAGGCACTCACTTCCCAAGAAACAGGTGAAAACAAAACGATGCTAAATTTATCTTGCAAAGGCAACGGAAAACGATCATCCCTATCCTCGACGGAATGTTCTTTGTCTTCGCCGTTAAAACGAAAATATTCATTGCTAGGTTCGCTCGAACTTGTTATCAAACAATACGTTTTACTTTCCAAGTGATAAGTAACCATGTGAGGCGTGCACCGAAGAGGAACTTTTCTTACAGGCCACGGAGCATCGTATGACAGGTGTGTTGGTAAGATGCATATCCTTAATTCACACTGGAAGGGAAAATGTAGGAATTGAATTATTTTTAATAAATCAATCCTTCTTCTTCTTCTTCTTTTTAAATAACTCACTTTACTGGTAAAATATAAAAATCCTAGAGGGCAATTCACGTTGTGAAAAGAAGCAAATGATGTCACTCGACCGTCTATGAGCATAGGATGACTACGAAGTTCCCCCCTCGCCGTTAAAAAAAGCCAATGAGGATTGGGTCCGCAAACAAATACTCCATTATATCCGGATATGTTACTGAAATATCTTAGTCTCGTCGCTCTTTCCGACTCCACTTCATTTTCGTATTTCACTTTGAACCTGTTAATAAAATAATAATATCATAACGTCATCGTGTAAAAAAAAAAGGTACGTTGATTGAAAAACCTACTTCGCTTTTCGTTCTTTTAAAATAAGAGTTTGAGGTAAGCGACGGAACCTAATTTTTAAATTAGGTCCTTTGGCAAATTTAAACGCTTGATATATCATTAAATCGTTTTCGGTTCGTAAAAGAAGAATGGGTCTTCTTCCCAAATGACCCAAAGACACAACTAAAAGCTCGTGTATTTCGGGATCATCCGAGCCATCCATACTAAAAAAAAAAAAAAAAGGGAATTTGATAGTAAATACTTATTAGATCATTAAAAAAAAAAAAAAAAATACAAAGTTTTAATTTATTTACCCGGATGTTTGAGCCATGTCTAAAACGTCGTAGAGTACCCTATGACCTTGACCTATGCGTCGGATTTGAAAACTAGGGCGGAAATCGGGTAGGGAGTAGATATCCAAAGTACCCGTTTCCCGTAAGACAAACATCCAATAATTCGGTTTGATTTCTTGAGAATATTTTTTCCATCTTACAAAAGGACGAGGAGGACTAGGCTCGTTAGTATTCGTTATGGGTAGCAATTGAAATTTCACTTCGGATCCGCCATAAAGCATTTCATCTTCGTCGTCTGCTTCCCTAATAAGTGATTAAAAAAATAATATGTTTGCATAACTTTCTAAAGGAATATTTAAATGTTACTCATCGTTTACTTTTTCATATTTTTCGAATCAGATTTGAATGTGGCATTCTGCAACTCTTCTTCGGTGGTCAACGTAAATAAACCACTCACGTCCCTGTAGGTGCATATTTTCGAGACACGTGGATTCTGCAATCAAAAGTAAATCGAAAAGAGTATTAAAATAACAAATCTAATCTGACTCTAACCTACTCCTCACGACAGAGATTTAAAAATTACCGTGGGAATTGTTGGTTTAAATACTGAAAGACGACCCTGTCCCCGTGATTCACGTAAAGTTAATAACACTACTTGACCATCTTCTGTGAGGAGGGCAACGTAGGGATCTGCAGTAGATGCATGAACCACAGACGATCCCAAATCCAATGGTATATGTTGAATTTGTTCCAATCCTCTAAGCAATCGGACACCAGCTTTTGAAACCTGAAAAACGATAATCGCAATAAAATATTTTGACTTTTCAAAAACAAATTAAAAAAGTACTCATTACCTACTTGAACTATATATTTATTACTAGCCAAATTCCCGGCAAAAATGGTAGGTCCTTGAGTATTAAAACCAGAATGATCTACTTCGTTAATCTCCTGACCCGTTTGTAATATCATGGTAGAATCTTTTTGACTTAATATTAAAAATGCATGACTAATATCATCTTCAGCTTGTGTCGGTCCGCTGTCGGACTGAGGACCGATTACCGTCCACATGTCTAAACAACCAGGAAGTTCGAAAGTAGTAACAACCTAAAATTATAAAATAAACTTCACTTAAAATACATTTAATTGATGTGCTTCTAAAAATATTAATTTTTTTTTTTTTTGGAACCTGAGGCCTTATTGTACGTTGTAATACACAAATAGCACCATTTTTTCCATGTCCAGAGGTGGTGACTAATTCCAAATCGGGATCTCTATTATTGCTGAATTCTTCAGATAAAAAAGCTGGTTCTCCCATTGATACGTTTCCGCACGGTCCTATGTTTAACAAACTATCACAAACTTCAAACATGAATGAAGTAATTTGAACAGAAGATGATGCTTCTCTGCAAAAAGTATCAAATACCACCAGTTATTTTCAATACATATTATGTTATGTTAATAGATTATGTTTAAGTTATGTAGTTTACATACTGTGTTCCATAAACTTCCAACTCATCCAAGTCACGAATATCAGCAACATCAGAAGCCATCCAATCGCCTAAAGCGTCTTGCCTTCGTCTTTTGGAAGGTACAGGAACTTCACGAATACTTTCGTCTAAAGTAATTATAGGAGCTTCGCTAGATTCTTTTTCGGTAAAACGTAATAGCAATGAATTTCCCAAACGAGAACCCAGAAATAAATATTTGTCTTCACAGACACAAAGCTACAAAATAGCAAATTAATAAGAAACTTTTTATGTAAAAAAAAAAAAAACTATAAAAAATAAATACTAACGCAAGTTGTTAATACACTAGCCGCTGCCTTATCAAAATGGAAACCTCTAACACTTCTTATATTGTCAGCGAGTAAAGATAATACATATAATTCACCTGTTTTCAATGAAAGTACAAGACGATCATGAGATATAAATGTTGCTTGAGATCCTTCTAATGTAATTTTTACTCCTTCTTGAATTTCTAAAATAGTAATGTTAGTTTAACGAAAGCCATCTTTGTTATAAAAAAAAAAAAAATCAAAAGTAAAAATTCTACCCACTTAACTGGAAATTCGTCGAATTTTCAGCAATACTATTTACCGAAACTCCAAATGGAGGAATACTTTGATTTAAATAAATAAGAGCATTAACTGAAAAAATTAAAGTTCCACCAAGAGGTTTAGGAACAGGTATGGCTTGGGTGCAATTAAAAGGTAGATTTCCAACAGACCAAATAGCAGGATGTACTCTTTGTTGAATATTCAAAGAAACAGCTATCATGGCACATGTATCACTTCTAACTGCTATTCGCCTACAAAAAAAAAAAACCCATATTCAATTTATTAATATTTTAAAGATTTGAAAGTAATAAGACAAATTTAAATGCTTTACTTACCCAGCAAAAGTTTTTAAAGGTTCATAAAGTATTAATAATGTCGGCTCATAATATCCATATAAAAACTGAATATCTATAACATTTTCTAATTTTTCATCGATTTCTCTTAAAGTTATGGTATAGGATGATAGAACAGGAGCTTTAGCTGTTGCTACACTAGATGAATGAGGATCTAATAGTGCAATATCTGGATCATCAAGTTTTGACTCTCTTCGAAAAGGTAATATTACTAATTTTCTGCCATATACCAGCATTGCAGCACATCTACCTTCTGGATCAACTCTTACATAAGGAATATCGTAATGATTAGTCCAACCCCCCTAGAAAAAGAATGGTGAAATAAAGCTAATGTAATTAAATAAAATTTTAAAAAATAAAATGCTAAGAGTAATAAAACATGTAACACCTTCATGTCTTCCTCCTCGAAATAATGCAATGATAATGTTCTCAAATCATGAGAATCAGGATCATACTCTACGACACAAAGTTTGGCTTCCCTAAAGCTTAATAACAATGCATCTCTTGAAGATCCTGCTAAGCTTACTGCCTGCATAGACATAACATTGGCAAACAATGAAAAAGATGACAAACATTCTAATTTCATTTTTGGAGGTCTTCTTTCTAAAATTAAGAAAACAATAACGCGTTAAATTTTTGGAAAAAATTACATTTTTTTTTTTCAACGGATAACATTTGGGGTTAGGATTGTAAGTAAAAATTTTAAATGACAAACCTGTATACGCATCTCTTTTGGTGGGATCAATGTCAGGGATTAATTGAAATACCCTTAAAATATTTTTCCCAGCAACCACTAAAGAAGTTTCTGATCGATTATAAAAATGACAACTAATTGCATGTTCAACGCTGGTAGCTGGATGTGTCAATTTACATAAAGAATACATTTTGATGTATTATTTAAATATCTTCAAATAAAAAATTTAGCAGATAGCACTTTGTTTTATTATTCACATTTTTATAGAATTATTAAAATATAAGAATCGTACATTTAAAAATTATTTCAATTTTTTAATTCGTTTTTAAATAGCGGTTTATAAACAACCGCGGCCGTCATTGAAATTCAAGTTGTTAAGTTACAAAAATTTGTCATAGAGTACAAACATGAAATCGGTTCAGAAATTTTCAGCTCAGAAAATGTTTGTTAAAACGATTTTTTTTTGACGAAACAAGAGAATAGAGATTTTAAAAAGTTTTTAAATGTTTTTTTCTTTTGAGGACATGACTTCAATTCCTGCTTGGGTTTTTCAGATTCATTTTTTATTCCTATTTTAACTTCCGCGGTGTAAGGTTCATGAGATTCAAACGCACTCAAACTTTCCATAAACATCAACGACGAATTATGTTCTTCGTCTTTGTCTATTGACCACACAGTAAAAGGTTTCAAATTGTCAGAAATATCATTTTCTTTACTACACACTTGAGCTAAATTTATCAAGGAATGATTTTCCCAGTCAGAATTATTTGAGGATATTGACACATCATCTTCTCCATTATTCTCTTCTTCTTGTTTTAATCTGTTGGTAGAATCTTTTTGCAATTCATTTCTAAGTCGAAGCACTGTAATTTCCGAATCACTTGGCCAACATTCAATTTCAGATTCCGAATTTGTATTTTCAATTATATCTAATTTTTCTAAAACCACCACGTCAGAATTAACAAATTTAGTAAAACCATTTTCGTTTTCCCATTTATTCATGTTTAATTTTTTACAATTTTCATCGTTACACTTAAATGAATTTTCAATATCGCATTCCTTCAGTAAAGACGAATATTTTGCATTGGGAGAATCGGGAGAATAAATATCGTGTTTAAGTACAGAAAAAATAATCCTTTCTTCACTTTTGTTCTTGGTAAATTGTATATTTTTCGATGAATTGAACTTTGATGAATTCTCAATAATTTTTTGAATTTCCAAAACATCTTCTATTGCTCTTATAGGAAAAACATTAGGCGAAGTATAGTTCATTATTTTACTTAAAAAAAATAACTAAAAAAAAAAAAGAAGCAGTTTTATCTATTTAATTACGTATTTTGATAGTTTTGAAAATAATAGTTTAAAAATAATAAAACTATATGTTAGTCATTATAACATTTTATATATGGCACATTTTGTTTCGTTATTATTATTATTTTGTATTCTCTCGGGTATAATATGAATTAATCATACTAAAAGAATTTTGTGCAATCTTCGGTGATTAAATTTACTTAATAATTTTGTTTGCAATAAGTGATTAAAAAAAGGAAAAAAAAAAAAAAAAACAAATGCAAAATGTTACACAGCTCTTTACCGTTTAAAAATTTTTTAAATAAGTTTTGTTTCAAAACTTTCTGACTATTTTAGAAACTAATGTCAAAGTCTACTGCTAATTTTTTTTTTTTTTTTTTACATATGTTTACATTACTACGTACACAGTATTTTTATTAAATAAATGTTTGATATTCTTACTTAAAAGTAAGAATAGACTTTTATCTATTCTAATCACGACAAAATGAATATTTTAGAAGATATTGCTTTAGATAAAATTGTAAATGGAAATAATTTATCCGAGTTAAATCATAATCTAGATGAAAAATGCAATTCTACAAATGTTATACCTATTCCTGAATCCAATAAAATCAAAGGTTTGCATAATTTATTAATTTATCATTCGATTTTGTTTAATTAGCATATGTTAAATACAAATAATTTGCAATTCATTTGTTTTTCTTTTTTTAACAAGGCTTAATAACTATGTTCCAGAAGATAAAAAGTATTTTAATAAAATTAAAGAAATTAAGTCAGTTCTTCACAAATCACCCATAGACTTAATAAAATTAAAATCATTGGCTGTGTCCAAAGGAGGTTTAGTTAATGATAAATTAAGAAAAATTGCATGGCCATGTTTGGTTGAAATTTCGGTAGGAAAAAAAAAAGAATTATTCAATGAAGAAAATCTTCATAATCATCCAGAATATGAACAAGTGGTTTTAGATGTAAATAGATCTCTTAAAAGGTTTCCACCTGGAATACCTTTAGAAAGGAGAATCATGTTGCAAAATCAGCTGACCTCTTTAATTTTAAAGGTAGTTACGGTACATCCGAAATTAAAATATTACCAGGGTTATCATGATGTTGCCGTTACATTATTACTCGTTACCGGATTGGAAGCTGCTTATGGTATTTTAGAAAAATTATCTACTAATCATTTAAAAGATTGTATGGCGCCAACAATGGAGAAAATTTCGCATTTATTAAATTATATTTACCCATTGCTAAAGCTTGAAAATGAAGATGTTTATAATTATTTAGAAAAATCAGGTGTTGGGACAATGTTTGCTCTCCCTTGGGTTTTGACTTGGTTTGGTCACAGTTTAAACCATTATAAAGATATTGTGAGACTGTTTGATTATTTTTTGGCTTCAGAACCTCTCACACCCATGTATTTATCAGCTGTGATAATATTATTTAGAGCCAATGAAATATTAAACACACCATGCGATATGGCTAATCTTCATTCTCTTTTATCTCAGGTAATTTAAAGTTAATAATTAGTTCAATAACTTTATGGCAACTATTAAATATTTTGTTTGAATGTATAGGTTTTTTTTTTTCAATAACCCTTAAATATAATCTACTAATTTTGTTAATTTGATTTTCATTATTATTAAGTTTCACTTTAAACTATTAATAGATTCCTGATGATTTACCTTTTGAGACGCTACTGGCGAAAACGACGGAATTAATTAAAAGGCATCCGCCTGAAGAAATTCAAACGGAGGCATTAATGAGAACTAAATATGAAGAAGACCAAAGAAGAAAAGAACTTGCTCTTAGATCAATGAGCAGGAATAAAAATTTATCATTCATTTGGAGTTTAGTGAGACACATTGACCCAGGGAGAAGGCTGCCTATTTGGGTATTCGCTGGACAAAATCATTTGACTAGAAAATTTAAGAATTACAGTTACCTTGTCGCCACAGCTACTTTCGCCGTTGGACTTTATGCAGCATACTTAAAATCGGTACAAGCAACCACTTTGTAGAAGTATGATTCGTAATTGGTTAATCAAAATTCGATTAAAATGGCCTTATGGTACTCATGACTATGCAGATTACTTTGAATGATCGTGGTCTCTCTCTCTCTCTCTCTAATTCTGTAAGTTGTATTTAATTTATCACCTGAAAAAACTTAATATTTTATCACATGTTATATTTTGTACAATTATTTCACAATTAATTGAATCTGAAAAAAAAAAAAAAATTGTCAACATTTAAAATTTAATTTTTTACCTCAAATCCAGGTATAAAATCATTTTTAATTGAATAACTATTAGTACTAAGTCAAAGTTTAAGTTGTATCGCAAAGTCATTAGTGCCAAGTTAAGGTTATTTTTTGCCATTCCTTTTCTTAAAACAGAAAAAGAGTTTGAGTAAAATTGTATTATTCCTATTTTCTTTCTTAAGCATTCCTATACCGATTCAATTTTAAAAAAAAAACTATAAATAAATTTGATAATCGAAAATTGACTCGAATCAAAAAAGAAAAAGTAATTCAAAAGTGATATATATATATATATTTTTTTACAAATATTAATTTTAAATCATAAAAATTAAAAGGACAGTCATGTAAAAATCAAAAGCAATGTAAATTTTGAAAAAAATTTTTTTTTTTTAAATTTAGTTTTTAATTTTATTTTAAAAGTAAAATCTGAAATTGTAACGTTAATCTCAATAATTATCATTAATAATTAATTATAAATTATAATTGATATGAAAATAATTTAAAAAAAGTTTTTTAATTATGTGTTGTAGAACCTTATTCGAAATTATTTTTCATGGTTTCTGCCATTACCATCGCTCTCTCTCTCTCTCAAAATTAATGTTTTAATTTATTTACTGTATTTTAAGTAGTTTATAAAGATAAAATGTGTATAACGTGTGTTACAATATTTTTAATGTAACATTTTGTTTAATTATCTTGTTAATAATTGTGAATAATAAATGTTATTAAAAATGATCATTTAAATTTTTATTTTTTTAAAGTTAATTTTATTTTAATTTACGGTAAAAATTATAAAAAATAATAAAAAGATTTTCAAGACATCATTAAAATATATAAAAAACTTATAAGGAATATTGTAGAAACGTAACTAATATCGCATGGCAAAATAATTAAATAAAATTGCTTTAACAGCATGCTTTTTTTTTTTTTTTTGAATAAAATTCTTTAAACTATTTTAAGAACTGTAAATAAGTAATTTAAAACGTTATCATCTCTAAGAATATTCATGTGGTTTAATTTGGGGAAAGCAACATGAAACACTTTTTGACTTTGCATCGTTTGCCAATGTATGCAAGCTTCTAAACTTCTACGATTAACTGTACCATCACCATCTCCTTTTATCAGACTCGGATAATTTGAGGGAAAGTCATTAGGTTTGGTATAAACTAATTTTTCGGTCGTGTCAACGCCATAACCGTGAAGGCAATGAACTTCGACACCTGGTGGCTCGAAATGATCTCTAAATGGGGAGACATCTTTAAACATTTCCCAACCAACTTCGAAATTAATGTCCCTGGGAAAAAAAATAAGTTGAAAATTCGGTGGAAGTAATTTTTTTTTTCCAATGTTAATTTATTATGTATTTTCTAATACTTATGATAACTATTATCGAGTTGATTAATTACCAGACATTTTTAATAAAGATAAAAGCGAAAATATATATAAAAATTAAAAAATCTGCTTACTTGAAGAAATCTTCATAGTTATTAACAGTGTAATTTTTCTGAAAAGTTTGAATGAGAATTTCATTTTCTTTCCAAAATAATTTCGAAGGCATTAACCAAGCCAAACTAGGAGAAGAAATTTGCATTTCTTTTACTATGCTTTCCTTTAAAACATATGTTCCCAAATTGTCACCTAAATATAGTATAAATAATAAAATGAAAGAACAAATAAATGATTAAAACATCAAATTTTATAACTTGCCAACTGTATAAACTTTTAGTGCTTTGACTGCACCACCCCAAGCACCACTCAATCCTACGAGAGCTTTTATATATTTATCTTTCCATTTTTGGTTAACTTTTTGAAGCATAGAATATGCCATGGGCCCTCCCATGCTGTGGGCAATGAGTACAACTGACTTATTACCATTCATGGCATATGTTTCTTCAACCAACTGGATAAGCTTTGTAAAGTAATCTTGATTTTCATCTAAAAAAAAAATAATCAGATTTAAAAATAATCATTTAAAAATTGTTAAAATAAATACATAAATGTGACATAAAACATCATTGTTGTAAATCAAAATTATATATAAAACAATATTTCACTCTAAAAATATTGTGAAGTTCTGTGTGATGTTTTACTTGGTCCTTTTCTAAAATCATAGGGAGCTCCTCTAATATTCAAATCTCTAACATATCCTTTAGAAACTAGAGCTTGAGCAATATCCTTATAATAGGCACCAGGACTGGCTTTGCTAGGATCAATCCATTCGACCACACTGGAATTTCCAAAACCGGGTATTTCAGTTTCAACTCCTTCAGTGTTATATGTAGTCCTTGTATTGTTGTCATATCTTAATTTAATGTTGTCAACCTAAATTTAAATTAATGTAATAAAAAATGTCAGTTTGATACCAAAAGCAAAATTTTTATTTAAATAAATATTTAAAATAAAATTACCCAACAATCTATAACAACAGGTACTAATAACTCCAAGTTAAGCCACAAGTTAAAATAATCGCTTGTTTTCGTTCTGCAAACATAATGCACATAAGTTGTTTTGTTAAGTTTTGCATTAATTTGACTACCGCCATCTCCAGGTACTGAAAAATAAAATTTATTTATTAATAAATTCCTTTAATTTTAATTTTGAAAAAAAATCGTTGATGATTTTAACATGCAAAAAATCCATATCATACAATATTATTATAATACATACTTAAAATTACTGGATACCTAATAGAAGATGAACACAATTGGATGCATAAAACAATTAATATAAACCCAATAACACACTGATTTAATAGATTGAACATAATAATTTAATTCTTAAGATAATAATTATTTATGTAGATCAATACATATATTTATTAATACCTTGAATCAGAGCGGTTAGTAAACTCGGACACCTGAGAACGAACAATAGGTTTATGAATAAAAAAAATTCATCCAGAAATTTTCAACCCTAACATGTTCAGTTTTTCATTCGAAAATTCTTAAAGTATATAAATCGATAATAAAATTCAAACTAAGGAAAAAACGGTTATTTTAACACTTTTTTTTTATAATGTTGGCATCATCAGAAATTACGCGGCAAAAATTTTTTGTTATTTATAGATTGTAATTACATAATGCAGAACCAAAATAATTTTTTTTAGGAAATTTATTTAAAGTAATTTAAATTCATTTAATAATTATTGATATTTACCTTAAATTATTAATTTTATTCTTTGTTTATAAATTTTATTTATAAATGAAATTTTTACCGAGTTAGATTTAACTACTGCATATCAATCAACTATTTAAAATTTTGATTTTTATTATTGACCTTTATTATAAAAATGTTTTTTATACTTTTGCATGGTCAAATCATTAAAAAAAAAAAGAAAAAAACAACAACTACTAATTGTTTACATGCTTTGTCAAGAAAAAATGAAAAATAAAATGTTAAATAGGTCAGTTCAAAGTCTTTGTAATTTTTTAGCACCATCTATAATAATAGTAAGTTAAATTTGCCCTTGACCCTTGATTTTTGAACTCTATTTATTAAAATTGTCAGTAATTTATATCAAGCAACATGAAATCCGTTTCGAGAAATGAAATAACACAATTTTACAATTGTTATTTATTACGAGATCATAAAATAGTTAAAGATGATTTTTGGGTTAGGAACGGAAAAATAATTAATCCTGAAAAAGTTTTTTTTGACGAAAGAAAAATTGCTGACAATCGAATTAACTGTCACGGGGCTTTAATTTGTCCTGGCTTTATTGACATTCAGATAAATGGTAAAATAAATATTTTTTTTTTCTTTTAATGAACGGTTTTAATTATTAAACACTTAAAATTATAATGATAACAAGTGACCATAAGTAAGTTTAATCAAAGGAAACAATGCAAAATCTCACCTATTTAAGTATGATGTGTGCTGTTTTAAATCTTATTTAATTTAAAAAAAAAAATAAAATTTTGTTTATAGGAGGATTTGGAATAGATTTTTCACAAAATTCTCCAGTGACTTCTAAGGAAATAGATATTGTTGCAAAAGGACTTTTATCCCATGGAGTTACTGCTTTTTGTCCAACAATAGTAACATCTCCTCTTGAAATTTATGAAAAAGTACACTCAAGTTTATTATTCATTTTTTTTAATAATTTAACAGATTGAAATAGTTTATTAAAGCTAATTCAAAAAAAATTACTGACCAGGTTTTACCAAATTTGAAAAAGAAACAAGGAGGAAAACATGGTGCTACAGTTCTCGGAATACACCTCGAAGGTCCATTTATTAGCCCTGAAAAAAAAGGAGCACATCCTCCTGCCCACATAAAAACATTTGAACAGGTACCAGGTATATTATTTCGAGTGAAGCAAACATTTTGCAATTTTGTATCTTTTAAATCGACTTAAATTTTATTTTAGGGAGTGGATTCTTTGTTGAATGTGTACAAGTCATTAGACGATGTTTTAATTATTACTCTTGCTCCAGAAGCAGAAGGTAGTTGTGAAATTATAAAATATTTAGTAGATAAAGGTATCATTGTTTCCCTTGGTCATTCACAAGCAAACTTGTTACAGGCAGAAGAAGCCTTTAAATGTGGAGCATCGCTTATAACTCATTTGTTTAATGCTATGTTACCAGTAAGTTTTTAAATAATCATTCAAAATCAAATAAATTCAGGTTAAAGTCATGTTATTTTAATATTTTTTTTAGCTCAAATGTTCCCTAAATTATTTTCAATTCAGGCATTAAAGTATTATTATGATTGATTTTTAGTTTCATCATCGAGATCCCGGTTTAGTCGGTCTACTGGCATCGGATCTTGTACAAAATGAAAGAACTATTTATTTTGGAATTATATCCGATGGAGTTCACACTCATCCTTCAGCACTAAGAATAGCACATAGAATTCATTCGAAAGGTATGGGAATGATTAGTTTTAATGTTAAAGGTACAAGCAAAAATTTCATTCGATAAAATTTTTTTTAGGTTTGATAATTGTTACAGATGCTATATCTGCATTGGGACTAGAAGAAGGAAATCACACGATTGGACAAAAATGTGTTGAAATTAAAAATGGTCGAGCTTTCATTGCAGGAACAGATACACTTTGTGGAAGTATTGCAACAATGAATTATTCTGTTAAATATTTCAAAAAGGCAACAGGTACAATTATATGAGAGATAGATAGAAGATACCTTTTTAAATTTGTGTGTCAAGAATCAATTTTTCTGTTTCTTCAAAGGTTGTTCAATAGTTGAAGCATTAGAAGCGGCAACGTTGCATCCAGCTTTGGCTCTTAATATTTCCCATGAAAAAGGTTCATTGAATTTTGGCAGCGATGCAGATTTTATCATATTAACATTAGATTTGGATTTGATTTCCACATGGATTAATGGAGAATGTGTTTATGAAGCTTGTCGCAGCCAGTAAAAAAAACTACAAAAAAAAAAAAAAAAAAGAGGACATCAAAAATAACATTTAACGGTGCTTAAATATTCTTTTTTAAAATTTTAAAAAACAAAATTGATTACCTATTTTTTATAATATAACGGGTAGTTACATAATGCGTAATTGCATAATGATAATAATAATAAAATTATTTAGTTAAAAAATAAATAAAAAAGTTTAGTTAAAAACAAAAAAAAAATTTAATTTAAAATCTGTTTAAAAAACACAATTAATGACAATATCTGATTTTAAAAAAAAAACAACATAATTTTTTATTTATTTAAACATAATTCTTATTAAAAATTAAAAATAAACTAACGTTGATACTGAATTGTAAAAAAAAAAAAAAACATTTTTTTTAAAATTATACGTCATTATTTGTTACAATGTACAGAATTTATTATTATTATTATGAAAAATATCTTAATTTTTTTTTTCAAGGCAGATTGTGATGATGATGATAATGATAATGATTAATAAATATTACATATTAATTGTTCGTTTATTATTATTATTATTATTATTATTATAATTTGTCAAATCAGAGAATTAAAAAAAAAAAAAAAAAGATGCCTTAAAAATGTTATTCACTATCGATCCATTTTTTTTTTTTTTTACTAATCACAGATTGGTTACCGATTACGCGAACTAAAATTTAACTTTTTTTTTTTTTTTTTTTTTTCCAGAATCCCTCTGTACCTTCCTAATATCTTCAAAATCAAGGTCTTCTACGAAGTCGAGATGATGCTCTCGGTCTTGATTGTGTACTACCCGAACCGATGCTAAAAGTACCTGTAAGAATTTTTTTATTATTATTATCATCATCCTTATATCAATGAATTTTACTATTAAAAATTATGATAAAAAAAAAAAAAAAATTTTTTTTCATTTTTTTTATACCTGGCGCGGAAAAAGTAGAAGACGGAGTTAAATTTCCCTGTGCGAAAGGTCCACCCGTTGGCTGTGGAGTACCGAAATTATATGTCGAATTACTACTTGCTGATCCGGAACTACCAAAACTGAATACCGACGGTGAGGGAGAAGATGTGGATCCGAAATTAAATTGAGATGATTGAGCTGTCCCGAAATTGAAACCCGTCGTCGAGGGTTTGGTATTTAATCCTGTATTATTATTATTATTATTGTTGGATTGAGAACCGAACACGAACGCCGGTGAGTTTGCATTTCCAAATCCGGTATTTTCTTTACTCGTTGATGCTCCAAATTTGAAAACGTTCCCACCACTGTTCGGATTGTTGAACATGAAAGGTGTTTGAGAATTACTCGAACTCGTCGACGTGGACGAATTTCCAAAATTAGTCGCAGAATTTGCAGAACTTGAAGTGGAAGCACCAAAGGTGAATACCGTCGTGCCACTAGTTTTCGACGAAGATGATGGAAAAGGATTTGAATTTGACGTGGCAGTACCGAAAGTGAAAGGACTTTGGGTCGATGGAACCGTATTGGTACCGAAAGCTCCTGTCTGAACTTTATTCGTCGATCCAAAACTTTTGTCTTGTTCGTTTAACGGTTTCGGTCCGAATATATTTTGAGTTGTTGCATTAAAAGTATTATTATTATTATTATTATTAGTCGATGGCGCAAAACTTGAAGAAGTCGAGTTGTTTTGAGATAAGGTATTATTCGAGTTAAAAATGTTGTTGGGCGTCACGTTCCGATTATTAGAATTTGCATTTTGTTCAAACGGTTGTCCGAATGTTGGCATTTGCGATGATGAATTGATTCCGAATCCGCCGGTTGTCGCCGCTTGCGTCGTGGTTGTCGCGCCAAAAGTGAGACCAGGTTGAGTTTTAAAAGCGTTATTGAAACCCGTCGCGGAACTATTGAAATTAAGAGAGATTTGTGGGTTGGCAACCGTGCCGAATACGGGCGGCGAAGACGAAGTCGCGAGAGATCCAAAACCGGTGGTTTGAAAACTAAACTTATTACTGCTACCTGGTTCGGAAGTGGTGGGTTGACTAAATTTATTTGTCGTCGCCAGCGATGAATTACTAAAAATGTTATCCTTGACCGCGAGTGAATTACTAGAATTTTGATTTCCCGAATTCGAATTCGAATTAGACATGAACGAAATCGGTTCCGTTTTCGTACCGAAAAGACTCGCAGCAGCAGCATTTTTATTATTATTATTAACCGACATTTGATTTTGTCCCAAAATCGTTGTTCCTGTTTGCGTAATACTTGACATTGTCGGGGTAGCAGACGACGTATTTTGAGAAAATATCGACGTGTTATTATTCTGTTGTAAAGAAGTATTGGGATTACTCGGCTTTATCCCAAATGGAGAAGAAGAACTGGTTGCAGTGTCGAAGGATTGAGTTGTTCCCCCCGATCCTTGACTCAAAACAGAATTCGAAGAACCAAATGAAAATAACTTTGCCTTATTATTATTATTATTATTGTCTCCTACAGGATTATTAAAATTATCATTTTTATTCAATTCTCCTGTTTTCGTACCGAAAGTAAAAGTCGAACTGGATTGTAATTTAGGTAATGAATCGCTAACGATTGGTTTCGTCAAAGTATTATTAGAATTTGGAGGATTATCTTTTTGTATTGAAGGACTGGAGATCGGAATCGAATTTGAAAAAATTAAATTTCCCGTAGATTGAGGATTGGGTAAAGTATTATTAGTAGTCGGTGGAAATTGTTTGATTTGATGACCGTCTAATGACACTGATGATGATTGAGGAGTATCTTGAATTTTGTTGTTGGTGGTGGTGGAAAACGAATTATTATTAGATGTTAAAAAGGTATTATTTCCTAATGGTTCGCTTTGACCTGACTCACTTTTTTTAATGCTCTCATGCACCTTATCGAAATTACCCGACTTTTGACCGAAAACAAATTGAGTGCTCGTCGTCAAAGTACTACTCGTCACGGGATTCGCGTTCGAAGAACTCGTATTGATATTACTAACAATTTTATCACTACCTGACGAAAAATTTTGTTGACTTACGGTTTGCCCGAACGTAAAACTAGGTTTCGGCGATGCGTTTTTATTTTGATTATCGAAAAATTGATTATTGTTGGAAAATGGCGAACTCGTTGCAGGCGTAGAAACGAAAGAACTGTTGCCAGTTGGTGGAAAAACGAAAGACGTGGAAGTAGTAGTAGTAGAGTTTGATGAAACCGCCGTACTTGTGAAATTGTTAAAATTACCCGTTGTTGTAGTAATTTCAGACGTTTTGATGTCTTTATTTTCTTGTGTGAAATTTTGAGTTCCATTTTGATTAATTCCAAATTTAAAAGTGTTTGAAATCGTGTTTGTTTGTCCCGTAGGAGTTGAACCTTGAAAAGTAAACCCACTCTTGACAGCTGTTGAATTACCATTCTGAGCAGTAGCAGTATTATTTTTTTCTGTAGCATCATTAATCTGTACATTTTTTTCCGTTAATTGAGTAGATGTAGACAATGCTGAATTATTACTAGCTGTTGTAGAATCCAAAGTTGTTTTTTCTTCGGCATTTATTTTGCTTTTATCTAAATTATCAAATTTTACTTGAAAGCCCAAACCGCTTGAATTATTGTTCGCCATTGAAAATTTATTACTGTTATTTTCAGAAGAAATGGTAATCGAATTATTCCCATCTTTTTGATTCTTTAATTCCATCGATGACTGGCCTGGACTGTTGCTTTTAGACAAACTTAATTCCTGATTACTGGGCAATGTAAAATTTCCAACAGATTCGACGCAGGTACTTTTAATTTCATTACTCGATGAATTTTTATACAAACTGCCATTATTAATTGAACTAGATATTGACTTGTTTCCCTCGACAGAATTGTCCATACTTTTATTACCCAATAAATTATTTTCAAATACGTGAATTTTGGGACTCGTGTTTTCCATATCTAAATATATTGTTGTCAGTCTATCTTTGTTTGGTGAAATAGCATTTCCATCAGTCATAGCGTTTTTCTTGCTTTTTTTATTTAGCTCATTCATAGGAGATTTAACGCCATTTGTAATTTTAGAATTGTCGCCTTCGTTATTAGTCATAAATACATTATCATTTATTTTAGGCCTTTTAATTAATAAACTCGATCCTTTTTTCGTATCATCTTTAGCAGTAGAAATTTTATCTGTATTGCATTGAAAAAAAAAAAAAAATAAATGAATTAATAAAATTTATAAACTTATTAAATCCTAAATTACTTTTATTATGTTTATTAACTGATACCATGCATTATTAAAAAACCTTTGAGAAAAAAAGGAATATTTATAATGTTATCACAAATAAAAGATGATTTTATATTAAAAACATACCTAACATACCTATTTTTCTCTTTAAGGCATATCCTGAATAAATACTAGAACTTAGGGATGCAAAAATTTCATTATTTTGTTTTGCAAGTTTTCTACGAAGTTGCGCTTTAGGATCCGATTCATCATATTGTTTCTCTACGTTCGAAGTTGTTTGATTAGATCTTTCAACACTCGGAGAAAATCTAATAAAATTAAATATTTTATTAAATTATTTATTTAAAAAATTTTTACATGAAATAAGTATTAATACTTGCAATGTTTGAGTGCAGTTGTCTCTTGTGGTTGTCACATTATTATTTTTAATTAATTCCTTTTGTACAAATAATGGTTTGGATAAAACATTTTCATCAGAAGGTAAATCTCCACCGAGTCCTTTCGATCTATACCGAGAGTAATTGTTATCATTTTTAAAATTTATTCTTTTCCTAGACAAATCTTGAAGTACATCAAGCACTGATCTGTTATTTGTTTTTACATCAGAACATAAATCTGGTAAATTATTCAAAAACCTACAATGTAGAAATTTTAAACATTGATGATGATAATTTTTTTCACACAAATTTACACCTTTGTAAAATATTATTATTATTATTAATAATAAGAAAATATAAAGAAAAAAAATTTGAAAAAAAATTACCTATTTACAGGTAGCTCTGGGCAAGGAACCTTAACTCCATTAAATTTCCTAATAGGCCTATAAAGCACAGAACTTTTTTTTAAATGAACGGTGGGAAAACTTCCAACACCTTCATACCGGTTTTCAAATTTTTTTTCACCCTGTATCAAATCAGTACCACTTTCATAGCTCCTAGATTTATTAAGCGATTTAAAAAATGAATTTTTAACAGGAGATGACACTAGGTTACAATTGGAATTTCCGGATCCATTATTAGAATTATTATATTTGTGAACAGCCAACTGAATTCTAAAATTTTGACTTTCATCCCCTATAGATTTAATTCCAACTGGCAGCCTACTTACACTGCTATTACGTCCCGGTGAAGAACAATCAGACGTTGTACTACCCACGCCTTTTTTTAAAGAACCCGATGAAAACATAATTTTATTTTCGCGTTTTTAAAACATAATTAATGTCAGAACGATTAAATATAATTTTCAATATCGCTTAACAAACAATTTTAGCAACTACTAGATCACAACAGATTAAAGTGCCTGATTCCACGAGTAAGCCTTGACTGTTTAACTTCCGGCGTGATATTTGAAAAACTACTACGTTAAACAAAAAAGTTATAACTGAAATATAAAATGAATTTTGAAAATATTTTCGTTTAAATATTCAATCCTTCATAAAAAAAAAAAAAAAACAAAAAAAAGAAATTTAATTTTCGGTTTTGTCAAATTTTAAATTTAATTACATATTACATTTTTTTAAAATATAAACAAAAATTTCAAATTGGATTTTTTATTGGTTTATTTTTTTTTTTTTTTTATTAGTGTTCAATGCCTACAATTTTATAAACGCTCCACCTATATGTATTTAAAAATATATAAAAACATTCGATAAAACTTTTTTTTTTTTTTTTTTTACTATTATTTACATTCGTAATTAATTTATTCAGTATTATCGACTTAATATTTGTTTAAACAAACAAGCAGCGAGCGGGTTTCAGTGCTAGTACGTGCCAGCCTATTTTACATTTAAATTAATAATAATAAAAAACAAAATTCATTTTTAGAAAAGGTTTTTTTTTTTTTTTTTTTTATTCGTGATGGCAGAGTTACAAGACAGTAGTAAACTCGAAATGCAACCTAATTATGCAATTGAAAATAATAGTGATCCTAAAAATATGCAAGAATTAACACAATATGTAAGTAAAAAAAATTTTTGTATTTCATGAAATTTGGTTTCATTTGTCAAATTCTTGTCTTTTCTACAAAAATATTTTCAAATAGGTTCAATCGCTTCTTCAACAAATGCAAGATAGATTTCAAACAATGTCAGATCAGGTTATAAATAGAAATATCCTTTTAATAGTTTTTAATTATCAAGTTTTGGTAAGTTTTTATATAAATTACATTGCATGAGGGTTTTTTTCCTTAATTATAAAATACTAGATGAAATGGGTAATAGAATAGATGATTTGGAAAAAAATATAGCCGATTTGATGACTCAGGCAGGTGTCGAAGGTCCTGATAAATAAATTAAAAATAAAAAAAAATATTTAATAATAATTGAAAAAAAAAAAAAAAATGAATCAGGCCTAAAATAACAAATATTTCTTATTCATTCTCCTCTATGCTTATTTATACACATACTTATTTAAATTTTCTAATAATTTTTTTAACAGTAACTATAATCAAATTATTTTACCTTTTTTATTCAAATGTAAAAAAAAAAAAAATATAGTGTGAGTAAATCATTTAGTAATAATATAAATTTTTATAATACCTACTGAATAATCAATATTTAAATATATAAAATGATTTAAATTTTCTAATGTGAAATTATTAATTAAAAAACATGATTTAAATCAATTTACGATTTGATCGATTACAACTTACCACCATTTTTTTTCATTTTTAAACTCGAGTACTTATTAAATTTTATAAATTCGTTAAGTTCGAGAGTTACAATAAATATTTCCTATATTCAATATATATATATTAAATTCAAATGAAATTACTTAATTTGAAAACAATTTTTACATTATTAAGTGTAATTTTTTTTGTTTTTAATTCAAATCAAAGGGTACCAAATTCTTTTTAAAGTAATTTATTGAATTGTATACAGAACATTCAAAGAAAAAATATATAAATTTAAAATCAAATTTTATCTCAATATCATTTCCTACGAGTAACATTTTCATATTTTTTCCCATTTTATAGCTTAAAATTCCCTGGAAAGTTTTTTGTTTTTTGTGTGTGAGTACGACAAAAAGGGGGAAATTTAATGGTAACTAGGATACGACAACAAAAGGATATTTTAATATGATAATTAAAAAAAAAAGTTATTAAAAACCAGAAACGTTTTCCCTTTTTACAAATTAAAAATTTTTTTTTTTTAACTATATATATTTTTGTGTGTGTGTGTGTAAAGTAAGTTTTTTCTTCTACTTTAAATAAATGTTATTTTATATATGTATCACACTTACTTACAATTATTTATTAAAATTTATTAACATTTATATTAACTATTATTAATTATTATTAATTCGATGTTGACAAGAAGAACACGAAATATTTTTTATCTCTCTCTCTCTCTCTTTCTCTTTCTTTCTCTTTTTCTAATAATTTCAATTTGTGTTAATAAAATTATATAATTTTTTAAATAAAAAAATCACATTAAAATAAACTAAAAAAATAATTTTTTTTTTTTTAAAAATAAAACAGTCATAATAATTACATACAACAATAAAATTAAAAAAAAAAAAAAAAAACTTAAATAAAAAAATTATTATTATTATTATTTAAATGTTTTTTAGTTTTTCCCCTTTGGGTGTGTGTATATATTCGCTCTTTTATTATTATAAATTAAATTTAAATGATTTCAGGTATTAAACCTACTGGACATAACTTTATTTATATATAAAATAGATTTATTTAAACAAAAAAAAAAAAAAAAAAAAAGATATGAATTTTAAAGATATTAAAAATATATATATATATATATACAATTAATGCATTTTTTTTTTTTTTTTTTAAAACTTCTAAGAAAGTCTGTCGGGTTTGGAATCTACTTGTGGTGGTGGGATTGAATTTGGAGAAAGGATTTGAGGTTTCGTTTCTGGAGTTTGCGGTTCTGGTATTCCTCTCGTGGGTGATAAAAGTTCTTGTCTGTCTCTTTCTCTTTCTCTACCGGGACGAAAAGCTTCCAAAAGTGCTTCGACTCTTTCTTCCGTTGGTCCCCACCGTTGAAACCCGCTTGAATTTTGCAACCAAACGACCAAAGTTCCATAAGGAGCCCTGATGTTGACTTCGTTTCTGAAATGATTATTCTCCTCAGTTTAAATTTTTTTTGAGATTTTAAAAATAAAAATATGGCGATAGTTCGGGGTATGAAATCTTTACTTGGGAACAACGTGTTGAAATCCGTGCCTGTACTCGTGTTCGTACGCGGGCACCACAACTTGTTTCCTCTTGAATAAACTCGATTCCAATCGTAGGAGAGCAGGTGGTGATGGATCTCTCCATTCGGGCATGAATATAATAAATGATAATGGCTCCGATGATTCGCTTAAGAGTTTTTCAAAATGGTTAACCATTGCTTCGGTTAATTCATCACAGTACGGAGGATTTGCTTGAAAGGAACCCGTTATCGGTTTGAAATCCAATATCGTCCTGAAAACAATTAATAATAAAGTATTATTATTTTGGCGGGGGGGGGGGAATCAATTCTAGTAAAAACTTTGTTTGAACCAACCCCCTCGAACCGAAATACGAATCCGTGTCGGGAAACCATGAACAGTATTGCCTAAAGTAGCAGTCGAGAGGAGAAGCAAAACATTCGAATGTAACGGCAAACATTTTATGCAAACATTCGAAAACTGTCGGAGCCAAAGCAGCCTGGGTGGCACCTGCACCACTCAAACCAAGAGCAGGAGGCGAATTGCTCACGCGACCCAAAGCCGCCTGATATCTTTTAAGTAAGCACCAAACTCTTGGTAAAAAATGTTCGAATTTTTTATCGTCGAAACAACTGTACCTGTAAAGTTGTTCCTAAAAAAAAAAAAAAAAAAAAAAAAAAAAATTGTTTTTTTTCCCCCCTAAATTAATTATTTCTTGTGTGATGTATATTTTTCTTTTCTTTTTTTTTTTTGTTTTTAATTTAACATCAATGTTTTACATATTATACTTTTAAAAATTTTGAAATATAAGTAAACAAAATTATCCCAAATCTATCTACAACAACAACAAAAAAATACCTCTTTATTTAAAAAGGAAACAACATCTGGTTTTAATGGAGTAGTCGTCAACAAATATGTTAATTTTTCTTACAGATTCTTGATTCTTTATCGATTATATATATTTTTTTTTTTTTTTTTTTTCGCTATAATTAGGGAAAAAAGGATATTAAAAGTAATATTCACTTCTTATACTATACACTACTAAATCCTTAAATAAATAAATAAATAAAAATCTATCAAAACTTTATTATAATCGATTGAATTGATTTCAAGTTTTAATTATTAAATTATGGCAATTGTTGAAGAAAAGCAAAATGTAATTAATTCGACAAATTTACAACAAATAACAAGAAACAAGACATTTTGGTAAATTAATACACGATATGTTATGATAAATATCATTAAGGTAAGTTTTATCAGGTTCAGGTGTGTAAATACATACCATAAAAATTACATTTTTTTTTGGCAATGATAGATTTGTACGAATGAAACATACCAATTTTTGTAGGTGACTTATATTGATCGCAAGAGGATCTCCATGATATCTCAACAATGCTTGTTCTCGTTCTTGTAAAAATTCAATATTTGGGAGTCTTGGGCAAGGCGTTGAAAACTGAATTGGATAACACCAAACTCGTCTCATAATTGGAATAGGAGGATGATTGTTTTCTGTATTGAAAAAAACAAAATAAGAATAAAAATTACGAGTCGTTCTTAATTTATAAAAATTACTCTTCATTTATTCCTTTTATTATTATTCGTACCTGGTATACCACTTTCTTTTAAAACTTCTTTACTTTTTTCCATTATTTTTTTCGTGTGATCTTTCGAAAGGTGGTATATTTTTAAACAAATCCCTTCGACTGATTCCTTCACCGTTTCCGTGAGGTGGGGTTGACACTGACCCTAAAATGCAATTATTCCATAAAATTTATTCAATCAACTAATTTCAAAGAAAAGTAGTATAAAGTCATTAAAATAAAATAAAGTACCTTGAGATGTGATAATCTTTCCTGAAAGTCATCATAAGTTGCACCGACGGTCCTTCTAAGCCACTGAAAAGTTTCTTCGGCATTCCATTTAACAACTTTACGACTTTCAGGGGAAGCATTCCTGAAAAATTGATCATTTCATAAATATTATTTTTAATCGAAAAGCTCCTAAATTCATTTAAATAGTATGAAAACATACCTAGACTCTATAACTTTTTTGGCAGCCTCGGCATATCGTGATAATTGCTTTCTAGCATCCCCAGTAAATTTTGGTCTCACAAGTTTCATAGGAATATCTTCCATAATTTCTTTAAACATTGATAATGAAACCTCGGGTATGCAATTGCTTGGTAAAAAAGGATCGTTACCTTCATCGATAACTTTTCTTTCTAATAACCAACGATTAAATGACTCTTTGGGTGCATCAATACCTTGAAATTATTTAAAAAAATAATTAACATGGTAAAAAGTAATTATTTATAACGATTTAAAAATAAAAATCATAATTTATGAGCATTGCAATGATTTCGAAGCATTTTAAATATAAACAAAATTATAGTTAACCTTCACGACTGTGACAAAGCTCCTGATAACACTGCCGTAATTTAGCAGCCAAAGCACATCTTAAAGCTTCAACTTCTGGATGAGGATGAAAAAAAGTCGTTGCAGCTCTTTCAAGTATTAAAACATTTGTGCCTATTTCAAGATCCCAAGGGCCTCTAAAAATAAAAATTTCAGTACAATTTGTCACTTAAAAAAGGAAGTAATGTAATGTAAACAATACATACGCCAATATAAACTTTTTCACAGGAATGCTTGAAATTTCTTCAGGTGCTCTTCTTTTTAATGGCATTGACATTTGCTGATGCATATTAGAAAGAGGGCCAGGTTCACATATGCCAAGAGGGTCTGTGATAGGATCAAAGGGCGGTTTCAGGTTGGGCATTTCCCATAGTGATTCTCCCGTAAGTTTATTCCAAAAGTAAGGACGATTTTCTCTTTTGCTCCAAAACTTTCGCCATCCTTGTTGTAATAATTCAGGAGGTAAATCATGTTCCATAAAACCAGAATGTCCAACAGCATTAGCTGGATGTGGTTGAGAAGGAGGCAATGAATTTTGATCTCCTAATGGTGTCATCCTTATAGGAGTTGGCACAACAACAGGTACACTATCATAGTGTGCAACTGGGTGACTGTGCTGTGTAGGTATTTGATGTGACAGTGCATGATGTATTCCTACTAAGGGTGAAACTTGAGAAATAGACTCCCAAGAAGAACTGGCAATTTCTTGCTTTCCTCCTACTTCATTCATTTTAGGAATTCAGAGTTAGGTCATTTGTCTAAAAAAATCATAATAAAATTTTAAGCTTTAACTGCAAAATGTAAAATATAAAGTTTTGTTTCGTCTCCCGCCTTAATGAAAATAACAAAATATAAATTGTAAGCATCAGAGAAAAACATTCATCCTGTAATGTATTAAGAGCTGAAATATATAAATTTCATTTTTTAAAAATTAAATTTAAACTCACCCTAAAATTACTGAGCAGTTTTCGAAAAATGATATTGTTATCGTACGCATTCATTCATGAATTTTAAAAAAATACAAAATACACAGACCTGTAGGCAACGCCATTTTGAGCATCTCTGAAGAACACTAAAACAATTTCACCGCCTACTATGAATAAATACGAATATTGCGTGAGTAGCTATTGCCGTTGGAAAAGTAACCCTGTAACTGTTAAATATGTTATAGGGGTTTGTTTAACAGTTTAAAATTTTTCATAAATTTTACATAAAATCAACAGTAATAAATTTTAATTCGATAATATATATTTGCTTGAATGTTAAGAAAGTTTTTTTTTAAACATTCTGTTAAAAAAATATTTTGATCATACGTTACGAAACAAGGTTTCATAATACAATGTCTACCGGCAGTAAAAAGCGTTCAAATACCGCTGCTGGAAAACGTCAGAAGAATTTGGTCAAAAAACCCAGAAGTAAGTCGTAATTTTCTTTTGAATACCATGTTTTCATTTTCAATTATTAATTTTGGCCATCGTTATAGTTAGCATTGTGCGCGATGAGAAACCTAGTATCACAAAAATACCTGGATTGGTTTTAACATTTGGACAAGGGGATGTAGGTCAACTTGGACTAGGAACAAGCATAACGGAACGCGGAAAACCAAGTTTAGTTAAAACTTTAGAAAACATTGTAGATGTATGTGCTGGTGGAATGCATACTGTTTGTTTAAGTAAAGATGGAGTTGTTTATACATTTGGTTGCGACGACGAAGGTGCCTTAGGAAGAGAAGCTACTGATGAAAATTCCTTTGAACCTGGTCAGGTTTGCCTTCCAGGTTCTGCAGTTCAAATAACAGCAGGTGATTCCCACTCTGCTGCTCTTCTCGATGATGGTAGAGTTTTCGCATGGGGATCTTTTAGAGTAAGTAAATTGTATTAAACCTGTGCATGCATTCAGTTTACAAAAAATTTTTAATCAAGTTTTTGCATTCGGTAGGATTCACATGGGGCAATGGGCTTGACTGTGCAAGGAAAAGAAAAAAGACCTATTCAACTCTTACAAGATAAAGTTATAACAAAAATCGCATCTGGAGCAGATCATTTAGTCATGTTAACTTTTGATGGACAACTTTATACCTGTGGTTGCGCAGAACAAGGCCAGCTCGGAAGGGTCTCTAACAGATTTTCATCAAGGGAAAGTAGGCAGGGTCTGTCTCATTTGCTATTACCTGGCCGAATATTATTCAATAAAAGATCAAAATATGATTTTATTGATGTATGGG